GCTCACTCTTCTTAGAAACAAAGTCTTTTGGATAAATACCCAGGATGCACCACTTTGGCTGACAAGGGATTTCCAAAAACCATTTGTTTTGACTATTGTAAAGGCCTCTTTTCTGTGTTGCATGTGTACAAGTTTGTTATTTGATTTGGAGCAAACGCATCGTCTAACATCGTCCAAACTATCGGAGGCCAAGCAACTCTTCAACTGTAAGTAATATAAAAGGAAAGAAACGAGTAAAAAAATGTCTGTTTAAGGCGTCTAGTGGCTTGATAGGAAAACTAGGAAGGAAGTCACGACACATATGTTAAGATACCTTAAGATAAAAAGGCTCAAAAATAAATGTTGATGTCTTTTTATTGTCCTGAAACTGATTGCCACAAAAAAGGGGTCCTGTATTGGCTGACATCTCATTTAAAAAAGGGACAGTTCAACCCACAATGTATTTGGGTTAGGGTTAATAAGGAAATGATTGATAAAGGAATTCACATCGTGCAAAAGTAGCAGAAAATGCTGTTTTCGGCGACCAAACATTCCCTGCTTTGCTTCATTAAAAAATGTGTTTGACATGATAGCTCCAACACTCACACCATAACAATCTAGATTTACAAATAGCACTGCAGGTAAGAAAACATGTATTAGCTACTTGTGTGAGCTACAGTATATAGGTGGTTGATGAGGGACTACGATGCACAAACAAACAATCTACAGATCTGTTTTTGACTGCTAATCTGATGCATTCACCAACTGTTTCTCCGACACTTGTGGAGGCTGCACAGATGCCAGAGTTCTCAGCTTCAGGCCAGACTATCCCAGAACACACAGCTCGATAAGGCAAGAGTTTGGGTGGGACTCGCTTTCAATCTGTTGTTTGTTTGAAACTATGCAGACCAGAAAATGCTGTACTTGTGCCAAATGTAAAAAAAAAAGAAAAATGTTTTGGCAGCTGTTGATTGAATTGAAAACGCCATCAGAGAGTGAGAAACAGTTCTACATTTCAGTGCTCACCAGTCGGAGGTACGAGGGCAAGGATTTCTCTCCTTTCTCCAGGGACTTGATCTGGCTGGGGGTCAGAGACTGGAAGTCGGCCATCTCTCCCTCCAGTCTGGACCTCTCGGCGCTGATCTTCCAGAAAGACGACTCCTCCTCTGGCCTCCGGGCCTCGCTGACAGTCACCTTCACAATCACACAATAATAATAACAACAGGTATGAGTCAAACATTCCAGAGTTTAGCGTCTGTATTTATTCAATCATGCAATGCTTTGCTCTCTCCAGTAAAACTCTTGGCATCATTGTCGTGATTTAATTCAAGGTGAAGGTTTATCAAGAGGCAAGGGGAGTGTTTGTTTGTGACCAAAACGCTTTGAAACTAAGGCCCCGTTCACACGGAGACGAAAACGAACCTTAGTCGATATCAAAAAAGTCTTCCGTCCACACGGAATCGGCTCAATAACCGTGTCCGTTTACACGAGACCGCTGGAGACGCTGTAGTACATATGCCGGGCCTGTGAGTGGCGCTGTACTTCCGCCACAAAATACAACAAAGCTGTAGATTTTGCACTAACATCTGTTGCATGGTCAGTAGCGTCTGGAGCACGAAAGCAACCCTGTGATCCGCCATTGTTGTTGTTGTTGGCGAAACACATCAGCAATGACGCGGGGGTGAGCAGCAGAGGTGGGGGCTATGGCGTCATCGTTATCAGGAAATGATCGTATAGGGCGTACACACGGAGCCGTTTGGCCCCCCCAGAGCGTTTCGTCCGCAGATCTATCCACCTTGGGAGCCGTTATCGTTTGAGGGCTCCGTTTCCGCGGTTCCGTTAGGGCCTCGTGTGAACGAACCGTCCATACGATAGAGAACTGTAGCGGATACAACCCGTTTCGTCTCCGTGTAAACGTGGCCTTAGCATGTTGCTCCAAATATTTTTGTTATGAGTAAACCATTGAAACACCTTAATAACTAAGCTTGGTTTTTTTTACTTTGTGTGTAAAGAGGGATGTTGAGATCTACTTCATAACACCAACCATACCTCCTCAGTTTGATCAATTGCATTTGTATTTTACCTTTATTGAACCAGGATAGGTCTCATTGAGATTAAACATCTCTTTTTCAAGAGAGTCCTGGCCAAGGATTCTGTCCCTTCCAATGTGTGAAAGATGCTTTGACAAATCAGACCAACTCTTGATTTTTAAGAATAATCTACCTGTGAGATTTGGATGCGACGCATTTGAAAGCCAAGTCTTAAACTACATATAACCTTTTGATGAATGAAGTGTTTTTTGTCCAACCAGCTACAGGGCACTCCTCTCAACATACCTTAGTTCCTGGAGTACTCTTGCTGATCTGGTTGGAATGAGGAACCTTCGCAGGCTTTGATTCGGCCTGAGAGACTGAGACTCCCTGTTCTGCTGGGCCAGACGTCAAGCTGAAGTCCAACTGGCTCTGAAAGATGGAAGCAACAATATCTCAGGACTTGAGCGCAAAACTACTTGCACATTTTAGACAGTAAAAAGGACATGTATTTAGATAATGCACCGCAGAGATCAACTCGTTATTACAAACCGTAAGTCTTGAAATAACGAGTTAATAGCTGGACATTATGATGGGTAAACATTTAAGTAAACTATCAAACTACAATGCCAAAGAATACCTATATCTAAAAGTAAAACGTTTTTAAAAGTAAAAGTTTGATCATTTATAGTATTGTGTAATTGTAAACCTAATATTAGAGGTTTTTTTGTTATTATTGGTCAGACAAAACAGATTGGAAGAGGATACATTGGAAACGATTCGAAGGAACTTAAACTACACAATCAAAACAATAAAGACCAACATATTAAGTTGCAGGGTTAATATTGAGCCACATTTCTTCAACAAGCCACCAGCGGCAGACTCAAACTTTAACTAAATATTCTTACCTTTGTTTCCCACGAGAAAGGGGCAGAATGCTCATCTTGCCAGGTCATATCCTAAGAAACACAAAATCAGAATCATCTTTATTAACCTAATATGTGTGAACGTACAAGGAATTTCTTTTTGTGTTGCATTGCTGTCAATTTACTTAAATAATATAGACATGACAGCCAGGAACAAAGCTGGGCAAATAAAGAATAATAGACAGGACTATAAAAAGGTACACAAGGATGTTAAACAATTAAAAAAAAAACACTAACAACACAATAACTTATATATACAAGTCCAGTTTTCCTGTAAACAAACAATTGTTATTATTATTTGTACACATCTTTGTAAAATGAAATTGGCAGTGAATGTGTTGGTTGTACAGGGCTGTTGACAACTAACAACAGGATAGTTATATTGCCAACACTCACTGACTTTCCTTCATTATATAGTAATGTCTCATTCTATGTTTAGAACAACGACTTGCATACATTATTTATGTTGTTAGCCTTAAACAGAGACACATATTTTCTTAGCGAACCTGTTTTCGACAACTTATTATGTGAGGGTAGTGTATTTCTACCTAACATTGAGTATTGTTCCACATTTACGCCTCATTTTATATAGTTATCCCTTCTTAAAGTTGCGATTACAATCATTTGGTAGCTATGCTACGTTACGTCATTAGCCACTATGACGTTAACCTGCATATTTCAACGGCTACGTGGCTAGTTAGCAACCATGACAACACTGGCTATTGTGACCTGGAAAAACACTTAAAAACACATTAAACATAAGAAAAATGTTATTATATCACCTCCTCTCCGAAGTGAACAATCTTCTGGCCCGTCTGAATGAGAAGTTTGGGGTAACAGAGCACTTCTTCACGGTCTACTCTGTGCATGGCGTATCGGGCTCGGATCTGAGGATCCATCATCTCATTATCGATGGCGCTGTCCTGCTCCTGATGCGTCATTTTCTCCCATGTAGGGCCGTGTTTCTCTTCGATAGTCTTCCTCTCCTGCATTATCTTCCTCGCCATGGAGTTGATGGAGGAAAAGTACTCAAACTTCTTCTCCTCCATCCTGTGGGAGCTGAGCCCCGCCGTGTTGGCGGAGGCTATCATGGCGGCCATCTTTAGCTGCTTCCAGCTGTTGTTATTTTTTTTTTGTTAGAAGAAGGAAGAGGAAGCTGGTTTACGTCCATCGTTTGCGTAGGTCGCTGCGTGGGCGGGTCGTCGGTTTACGTAAGGTTTACGTCACACAGATGGACCAGATGTTTTAAATGGCGCCATCTAGTGGTCTTTCCCAGCAAGAGCGTGTGCGCAGAGTGGCAAAACGGGCAAAACACATTAAAAATCGATATATATAATCTTATTTATGGGGTTCATTAATGGCATAGTTGTCCTTTAAAGTGGGTACATGTCCGGACAACTTTCAGAAGGGTCCAATTGTGTCCCCACCACTATTTAAAAGCATCATTTGTTAAATGTATTCCAAAAGACAATGTGCACCAAGACATTTTAGCTCAAATATGAGAATATTTTTAGGTTTGTTTACAGAATCGAACATACAATGCAGTGTAAATATAAAAGCAACACATTTTCAATGCGAAAAAAAAAAAAAAAGAGTATATCTAACATTATTGACGCCTTAAAGATGTTAGAAGAGACCCTTTAGTTATCTGTTTTTATTTTGGTTTATTTTGGTCTTATGTTATTCTGTTTTTGTTTGTTTGTTTTAAGACAAAAACGGCCAATATATACCCTCATAAGCGCTTTTGATTCATAAATGTTTTGAAATAACTTTACATAATTTGTGGATGCATTATTCGGCAGATCTACAGTGTATATAAAAAATCCTATTCCAACTGAATCTATTTCTTTTTGACACTATAGGTGAGTGTTGCATAAAAGCCAAAACACTACAAGAGAGACATGTGAATGTAGTTTTCATCCAAGTATTGATTTGTTTTGCCACTGGGGGGCAGCCAACACAAGGTGTGTACACAACATTGACATGTCATCACCTTTGAAATTGACATGGACTATTTACACATCCAGCAGCGTTTAAGCCACATTTTCCATTACTTGGTGTCCTGGCCATCTGGCGAAAAATAAATTAGTTTATATTACATCTGACTATATTGTCTTTATTTCGCAATTGTTTTATTAAAAGTGGTTTTCAAGATTTTGTTGTTGTTTTTGTTTGTTTTCTATTTAAAATATTTCAGTTTTACGAAAAAGAAATTTGTGCACATGTATGAAAACAGTGATAATTGTCAAAAACTCAGATACAGTTTTTGACAAAATAATATTTTAATAAACATTGTTTGACTCCTTTTTACAATATACTCAAACGCAAGGCACATACAATCACATTCAAATACAAAACAGGGGAAGAAGATTGATTTGTTACTAAAATATTACAAGTTGGGCTTGCAATTTTTGCGTTTTTGAAGAAACTTAAAAGTAAGATGGCAAAAACAGCCCTTAAAACCGTTTCTGAGCAACAACAAAAAGCTTTAAGCTAAACCAAATGGCTTTAAGCCAGCGGAAATGTGTAAAGTACAAAAAACAGCAAGGAACAAAATACTCCCTTTCTGTACACTTTTCAAAGGTTGCCTCGTTTGTGTCTGAAATTCTTAAGCATTACATAAATAAATAACTGGACTAATTTCAGTCAAAAACATTTCTCAGTAATTGTGCAACTGTGTACATTTTTTACACAATTTAAATGGCATTATTCAGGCATCATGGAGGCTCATCTTGTCACTCATCAGAATGCCTCCATTTAGACGCGGGTGAAGAGTGATGGCCGTAGACGCGACTGTTTTTTTAGACTTTCGTCTGGCTGAGCGTAAACAGGCCAGGTAGAAGATCTCCATTACGTTGAGCAGGACAGAGATGCAGGACACTACGAGCATGAAGATAATGAAGATGGTCTTCTCTGTGGGGCGAGACATGTAGCACTCCACGGTGAAGGGGCAGGGGGCTCGGGAGCAGACTATTCTCGGGTCCATGATGAACCCGTACAGATAATACTGCCCAACAATGAACCCTACCTCCAAAACGATTCTAAAAATGATGGAGGTCATGTAGTTCCCCAGCAGGTTGCCTTTAATCTGGACATGGCCGCTTTCGTCAGAGTACTTGGGAACTTTCACGATTTTGCTCGTGGAGTGGTTCTTCATATGTTCTCTCAGCTTGTTTTCATTGTGGATGACATTCAGGACGTGTCCGAGGTAGATGAGCGTCGGTGATGAGATGAAGATGATCTGGAGGACCCAGAATCTGATGTGTGAGATGGGGAAGGCGTGGTCGTAGCAGACGTTCTTACAACCAGGCTGTTTGGTGTTGCATATCATTTGGGACTGTTCGTCACCCCACACCTGTAATATTCAGAAGATACATTTATATTATTATCAACAGAGGAGGAGTCAGGATGTCTCAGTAGCGATACAAAATAAAAACGCATGCTTTTTGGAGCAAAAGCACACAAAAGGTTTTCCTTTATGTCACCGTATCATGTTTTCTTTTTTGAGTCCTCCTTACAGGACACTTTATCCTTTCTTTCTGGCAGACAGCCACTCTTGAGGTTACTTTTGGTGCATTTTCTTTTTAAATCCACGCCTCCCACCCACCTACATCCAGCAGTATACAGTCCTCTGAGTGCTATGTTAATTTTGTGGACATATGTGAAGGCTTTTTACATATTTATTGCACATATCTCCCATCATCCTCTATTTGCATCATTATGGACTTCCACTGGAAACGTCAGATAAGGTAAAATAATGAAAAAGTAACAATTAAGCAGAAAAGGGATTGAGTTACAGAAGCTATATACACCGTTCATTTACAAATATATTGATGATAGATGATTGCACCTAACATTTTAGTATAACATTGTAATTTAAGATATAAAAAAGTGCTTATAATGCCTAGAAAATACCACAATTCATCAAAAATTGGATCAAATCTCATCCGATGAACACGGAACAGTCTACAGGCTACATCAAGTCCTGGTATTGTTATAAAAGCTGATAAGGGTTGTAATTAAGGCAAATATAGTTGTCATACTGTGGACCCTAATACGGCCAGCAGAGAGTGTTATTTCACCGTAAAGCTTAACGTGTCATAAAAGTAATTCATCGGTTGGGTTAAACACGTCTCAAAGTAAAGTACTGATGAACAAAAGGAGACCTTCTCTGCTCCGGCTCCGAGGATCATGATCCTGAAGATGAACAGCACCGTGAGCCAGACCTTCCCGATGACGGTGGAGTGGGACTGGACCTTATTCAGCAGAGAGGACAGAAATCCCCACTCTCCCATGGTCTCTGATCTGGTGAGGAGAGCAAACAGAAGAATTGATTATGATATTGATGCCTGGACAATGATATTGCAGACATCTAACAACGGAAGACTCTATCAGATAAAGACAGAGGAGAAATGTAACCCTAGCCCATATAAATATAGCCTACATAGTAATATCAGCGTTTACTTATTACATGCAGACCCTACAACTTTAAATAGTCTTACAAAGCATCTATTCAGTGAACCGGAGATAGAGGCCGATGGAAACTCAGTAATCCAAGAACACCCGCCAAGAAAGGTCAGGTTTTTTTTGTTAGATTTGGTCGTCTGGCAGCATTTTTACAAACAACTAGTGGCTTGACTTTCATGAAACTTGGAGCAAGTTAGCATGTGTTAAGAAAAAACACGTTACATGTTGAAGTGTATTTCAACCACAGGGTTATACACGCATTATTTTTAATTAATGGCATTTTATTTTTGCTCAATGGTTTCCAAATCATTTGGCACATCATGGTTAGGTGAAACAGAATGTACATGGTATTAATCTAGTATGATATTTTGGAGAACAGATGCATCATTTGTGAAATGCTTTTTATTCAATTTCATTCTGCATTTCAAACCACAAAGGTAAAGGATGAAGCTTTTTTTTTTTAACACATCGGGCGTGGTGCAGTTTTTTCTGATTATTATTTAACTTGAAGGTTAAACATCAACAACAGCACAAGGTATTTTTTTGCTCAAAGACATAAACCCGTGTTGTAAAAACTCCTAATCTATAGTGTAGTATGTTCACATGGTAAAGAAGGATCGATAACATCCATTGCATAACAACAACTTATCTCAAGTTGTCTTGCTATAGGAGGTCAGAAGTCCTGATAGGAGAGGAATTTATCTTCCGCAGATGTTTTTGTGATTTTGAATCGCTGATAGATATATAGATATTGTTCACAAGAATAAAAGCACACGTATCCTCATTACACAAGATGGCTCCATTGGTCAAAGGTAACATTTAATTTTGTTTGCAAAAAATTCAGAGTCGTGAGAAAAATGTCGAAATATGTAGAAAATAGTGAATTTTATTATTAATAATTCGTTATTATATTTGTTTAATGAGTTCCTCTTTACTCACACACCCACTTTTGCTAACATGCTTACAACACTGCCAATGTCAAAAACAAACTCATACCCATCATAATATAACATTTTGGTAGATGTTGTTGTGTTTAATTCAAAAGCAACATCACTAAAGGTACTTTTGAACTAATTCAATATTGTATGTTGTGTTGGAAAAAAGAATGGTACCAGCTTACCTTTGAGTTTAAAGGCCTCTGCGGACAAACAGTGCTCACCAGCTGTGGAGAAGTCTGACGGAGAGCCCAGTGAACCAAGCAAAGCTGTGTCTGTGGTACCTTGAACTTTAGGTTCGATGATACTGCGCAACAGCGACACGTTGTCCTGACATCTGGAGATGATAGATTTAAAGTGGACCATTTTTTTTGGCGGAAAACTGACAAGATTGTAAAGGTTAATGATTGATTGGCACCGCTATAAAAAAAAAAATGTTCTTTGGAATTTTTTACTGCTTTTCCAGGTTATTGTTTACCATTATCAGGGTCACATTCTGATAATGATGCTGTTTGAAAAACGCCTATGAAAGAAATGCCTTTTCTGCACTTTGTTTCAGATACAATCTCAGGGATTTAAGGGCAAGGACGCAATGACATGAACTTGTGTACACACTTATGAAATCCAGTTTAACCCTGAATAAATACTACGTGAGGATTGTCACATTCATTGATGGTTGAGATTGCATCAAGAGGTTCATGGTTCATTCTGCTTAATTTTCAGAAATTCTTAACCAATGGAGCAAATGTATCTTGTAATCTCCCCAAAATGTGTTTGGGTTATGGTTAGGGGTTATGGTCCTTGGAGAGATTTTGTATTGAATTGCAAAGTGCAGGTGAGTGTGTGACCCACAGTTCATCTTATGTAAATGCCCTTATCCTTACATGAACTTATTAAACCCTCTCTCTGAATCAGAGGTTCACTTATCGATCTGTTGAACGCACCCTATTCCGAAGGAAAAGAACACTGTCATAAAGTTGCAATGATTAACGGCTTACTCAAATCTTGCTTATCGATTAATCATTAATGTAGTTTTTAATAAGGACAAAACTGGTTTCAGCTTCTCAAAAGTTAGTTTTTATTTAATAATATATTTAAATGAATATGTCTTTATGATTTGAACCATGGGCTCTGGGAAGCGGTGATGATATGTTTTATTACTTTTTCCGGTTTAAAAAATGTACTCAATTAATTCAAACATATCTTTTACTCATCGGTAATGAAAAATATTTCCAGCTTAAAAGTGTTACTAAAAAGTGTCAGTCATCTTTGAAAGAAAGGTGTTTGAAGCCTATCATCTGAACATCATTTATTCAGTCAGGAAACAGTTTTTCTTCAATCCAACCTCAATAATTTATTAAAAACAACATAGCACATAAACATGTTCCAGCCATACAGTGGAAACATACTTTTTCACCACAATCATAGACATCATAATCATTGTTTATCAGTGAGCAAATTATTCGTTTGGATACATGGCAATAACTTACAGGACACATTCAAAACTAGGCAAGGACAAAACTCTGCTCACTAACAGATTAACAAGTGGGTATCTAAGAGCATAAAGACATCATCAAAATTGCAGACTTTCCATCATTAGATTTCCTGTTAAATAATAAAAAACATATGTAAAATTCTAACAAAGTGCCCCTACAAAACATGGATGGACAGATTTAAGCAGACTTTACTCAGCAAGAACATTTCTTAACTACACATTAAACGTGCTTTTCCTTGTTGTTGTTGTTGTTGTTGTTGTTGTTGTTGTTGTTGTTGTTGTTGTTGTTGTTGTGTCATGATGTGTACACCCTAATGTAATATATTGAGTCTTTTAGATGTATCTGAAAAAGGAACCAGAAACATAAAACAAGTATTTAATGCATCGTAATGTTTTTTAATGTCCACTCAGCAGCCGTTTCTCCTCTTTGGCTCCGTCCAGACTTCCCCCCATGCTCTGGCTGCTCTCCATCTCAATGTTCATCTTGTTCTCCCTCAGTGCGTCTGCTGTGGTCGGCCATTTTGGACCCAACAGGGTGGCAGGGTTTTCCGCTGAGGTGATTTTGTGAGTGTGATGCCTGGAGCCGCACCTGACCCTGGTGCAGAGCAGGTAGAACACCTCGATGAAGTTGAGCAGCAGGGAGATGCAGGCCACCACCAGCATGAAGATGATGAAGATGGTCTTCTCCGTGGGGCGGGACATGTAGCACTCCACGGTGAAGGGGCAGGGCTTCTTGGAGCAGGGGAACATGGGCACCATGATGAAGCCGTACAGGTAGTACTGGCCAATAATGAAGGCGCTCTCGATGATGATCTTGACGATCAGTTGCGCGAGGTAGCTCCCCAGAAGGTTCCCCTTGATCTTCACCTTCCCCTTGTCGTCCGTGTATTTGGGCCTTTTGTTCAGTTGGGACCCCCCAGGGCTCAACATGCGCTCCCTCATTTTATTCTCCTGGTGGATGACGTGCACGGCGTGGCCCAGGTAGACCAGCGTTGGCGTTGAGACGAAGATGATCTGCATGACCCAGAAGCGAATGTGCGAGATGGGGAAGATCCAGTCGTAGCAGACGTTCTCACAACCAGGTTGCTGAGTGTTGCAGAGGAAGCCCGATTGCTCGTCCCCCCAAACGTTCTCAGCGCCCGCTCCCAGGACCATGATCCTGAACAGGAAGAGGACGCTCATCCAGATCTTCCCGATGACCGTGGAGTGGGACTGGACCTTGTCCAGCAAAGTCGACAGGAATCCCCAGTCTCCCATCTTTATTTTGTGATGATCAGTTACTAATCTGTGATAAAAAGAACAAAGAAAATACTCATGAGCTGATACCACATTATGTTTGCAATGATCCTACCCCACACCTTGTGACCTGAAATATTAACTTCAATCAATACGCGGCTGCTGGAAGAAAGACGCTCCGTCTCTTTTTTAAATTCGGTTAAAATAAATAAGTTCTTGAACTGCCTACTTGAGGAAAAAGAGGAAATCAGAGCTCCTCGAGTCATGAGGTAGCTGGTCAATATTCTCCTAAATTAGTCATTAGTCAGAATTTTGAACGGAAAAAACAGCAGAGCCAGTGGCTTCAAACCAATAAGGCGTAAATAAAATTAAACAAGACAACTCTAATAAAATAAAAGCACTTCTTCTGTGTTAATTTAACATTAGAAAAAACTATATTCTAATTCTGATTATAAAGAATGAAGATATTAAACATATGTCTTGAAGGCAACTCTGAAACATGAAATTAATCCTGTGCCATCATTGGTCATACGAATACTGGTAAAGAAAAGCCAAAAGTACAATTAAAACTTTCTTACAGTTATTATTATTTGTATGAAAATAAACAACGGTACTCTACATTCCCAGCCTGGATTGTAGCCTTGACAAATATTCAGATATTCTTTCAAAAAGTGTAAAATCTGGAGCAGAGAACAATGGTTGCATCTTACCTGGCGACCAGTCGGAGAGGACTGCCTGCGTTTCGGACAGATGGTTAACTTTAGAGTTGGACCTTGGAGTTTTTAGCTGGGTGAGGACAGCATGAGGACTGATGCAGATTGTTGCACAACACACATCTGGCAAGAAATGTCACGTTGTTCCCGTCAGCCAACGAGGGCAAAAAAAGTTGTTGGAAGACGGTAAGTGTAATAATTGACAGGAGCTCAGTATCTCAGCTAAATGACCTTGGATGTTTGGAAATAAACAACTTAGTTATCACAAAAGATAAAAACCACTGCTGCCCATATTTGAATATTCTGCCTATTTGACTGCATGTTAAATAAGTGTATAGTTGTAAATAATGCAGTTCTACCATCTAGTGCCAATTAATACAGACACAAGGAACTAACTGTCATACATAAACAGTCTAATGGTAAACACAAAGTGCCCCTTCAAACAGATGCATTTTTTACAGTATCATTCACCCCTTAGTTCATTTTGAAAAACCCCTTTTAAGAAAGTGTGTGGAAAAACAATCTTCTTGAGGTTTGAAACGTTTACATTTTTATGATATAATGATACCGTATCTTGTTACTCTCACTTGATTAAAATCAATAGATCAATAAAGTACCTATCTATCTATCTATCTATCTATCTAAAAGTAAGAGCAATAGCAATAAAGCACATGAGATAAAATAACATAGAAATACTTGTTTGCTGCTACCATCATAATGTCTGTAAGCTAAATATTAAGCTAAATAGCCTAGCTTATCAGAAACATCCATATAAAGCAGACTCTAACTCACACCTTGCCAATATAAGTTTAGCGCACGTAAAATAAGTCCCCTTGATATTTGTACCCTTTGTGTTTTGTACATCGTTAAACAATTGAATAAAATTGTGTATTTGTTACGTTTGGACAGAGCGTTGAACTTGTTTCCACCCAAAATGGCTATTTCAACACATTGCATTTTCAAAATAATAGCAATAACAGGTATTTTCTATTTGCCCTTTTTGTTAATATTTACCTGATACTTGATGAACAAATTATTTTAGGAATAAAAAGTTTGCTGATTGTTTAAAATAAACACATTTGCTTTTTGAATATAGGCAAATATAATAAGCTATACTCGGTTAACAAAGTGTAAAACTGCTACAAAATCATTCATCAACTAGTAAGCTAGTGTTTGTAATATGAATAGTAAAATTCAGACACATATTAGCAAATATTGGAGGTTTATTGAAAACAGAATTACAAACCATCATTGTCTAAAAACTATTACAAGAAAGCGTCCTTCTCAACATCTATCAGCAAATCTTCTGACGTTATTTTTTAAAGAGATGGATCTGAGGTTTATTATTTTTGTATTATGCCCGAAAAGTGAAATGTTGCCTGTGACTGAGTCCTGTTTACAGAAGCTGGCTACTCCCCCTCCCTCTCTCTTTATTTGCTGCACACACACACTCACTCACACACACACACACACACACACACACACACACACACACACACACACACACACACACACACACACACACACACACACACACAC